GATGATATCAAAAACTATAAAATGAGGCCTGTTGTGAAGGGCTTTCAGAGAAAGGAAGGAGTGTACTACACAAATATTTTGTCTTGTAGCAAAGATGACAACTATCAGAGCTGTGTTGGGCTTCGTAGCGAAGTGTGATATACATCTGGAACAAATGGATGTTAAGACATCCTTCTTACACTATGACTTAAAAAGAGGAACTGTATATGGTGCAATCACAGGGATATCAAATTCCAAGAAAGGAATATATGATCTGCAGATTGAAGGAGAGTCTTTTATGGATTGAAGTAGATACTAAGATAATGATATATGAGATTTGACGTGTGTATGTCAGATAATGAGTACATGAAGTGCTAGACAGATCACTGTTACTTCATCAAACAATTTGCTAATTATTGCATTGTGTTTCTTTTGTATGTGGATGCCATGCTGATTACAAGAGCATATATAGATAAGATCAGAGACTTGAATGAGCAATTATCAAGGGTGTTTGAAATGAAGGATTTAGCTCCAATAAAAAAAAAATCCTTGGTATGAGGGTTAGTAGGGACAAGAGTGTATGTACATTGAAGTTGTCTCAAGAATAATATGTTTAAAAGATATTAAATAAATTCAACATGAGTGAGAGAAAATCAGTTTGCGCCCCTTTAAGTAGTCACTTTAAATTATCTAAGGAATAATTGCCCAATATTGAAGTAGAGAAAACACATGAGAAGAATCCCATGTTTTAGTTGTTGAAAGCTTGATGTATGCAATGATATATACAAGATCAGATAATACACATGCAGTGAGAGTGGTCAATAATTGTATGAGTAATCCAAGTAAACATCATTAGAGGTTGTAGTGGATTCTCAGATAGTTGGGAGAAACAATCAACAAAGCAATTTATTTGAAAGTGCATGAACTGATTTACATGGGCATATAGATTCAATTATAATAGGAGATATTAATATTAGAAGAAGTACAACCAGTTACATCTTCATTTTGGGAAACACAATCTTAAGTTAGGTTTCCATATTACAGAAGATTATTGAACAGTTGATTGCAAAAGCTGAGTGTATTATTATCACTGAGGCTAGTAAGTAAATGATTTCGGCTACAAGGTTTTATGATAGAATTGGGTAAGGAGAAAAGTAGTAGAAAGTTTTATTATAACAATACGAATGTGATTCATCCATCTAAGAATGTCATATTGCATGTAAGAGAAACACATTCAACTAAAATATCACCTCATTCATTCACTTCTAGAAGATGATAAATTATGCTTGAAGAGGATACACACAACTCATAATCCTGCAAATATGTTGATTAAAAATATTACAATTGAAAAATTGAAGCTAGTAGTTCTTAAAGGTTGGGTAAATCACTATATAGATGCTGCAGATTTGGAGGAGAGGAATTGATTGCAATCAATCTCCAAGTGGGAGATTGTTTTGTGTGTAGCCTAATTATGGCAAGGAGAAGGCTCGGGGGCCCTAAAACTTGGCAAGGGGAACCTGTTTCCAAATGGGGAGCCACAGTGCCTCTTCCTGCTTCCGGAATAGAGTGCCAAGAAACTCAGTGCCAGTGAGGACGCCAAGTGCCCAACACCGCGTTTCCGGGACAGCCAAAGGAAACTCAAATCTAAGAGGGGTGCAGCTGCCTGCAACCAAATTTTTACAGTTTGAGAATTTAAGTTTTTAGCTTCACGAGTCTATCAAGTACGCGTATTGTGTGTTTGCGAGTTCTCTTATGCGAAAAAGAGATGTGAAGCGTCCTAAAGTGTTCCAAGCTGTAGAAAGATTTGAGTTTATTGGAACTTGTATATTTCGTCTCATTTTTATGTAGTGGATTTATTGGAGCGGTGTAACTGATTTCTCTTATTGTTTGGGTTTTTTTTCACATTAAGTGTAGGTTTACTTGCTTTTTGTTGCGATCACTTTTTTGTGCGCTTATGTTGAAAGTTTTAGTTCAAATCTCTCAAATCGGTATTCCATATTTCATAATAATTTAATATCCAATCTCAACAATATAAACCAACAATTTGCTAGTGTTAGTAAGATGCCTTGTCTACAAATAAAATGGTTCACTATTTAAGAAGTGGGCAATATATGAAAAATTACAAATTACATATGTTTTGTTGTATTTTTTTATCAACTTTTACTGTGCAAATGAGTCGAGTCAAAATTTTCATTTTGAAAATAGAAGATGATGATGCCAATCCTAAAATTTTAAGCAAGAAATTGGTGTAAAGAATTATACAATGAAGGATAAATATTGCAAAATCATTTGAGAAAGAAAAGAGAACTAGTACTTTCAAATTTGTTGTCATAACTTTGTGCTGTAATCATTAAATTCTAATTTTTAAGAGTATTTTATTTTAATTTTTTTATACCAGCTGGCAAATGAGCTGATGATGTTCAACTTTGGCTCTATAGTTTATTGAGCTTTACTCATGAGCCATTTATTGGATAAGGCTGAATCTGCTCAGAAGTTGAATTGTCTTGTTTGCACTCCCATCTATCTCTCACTATTGCAGTGCATTAAATTGTGGTAGTTAAGACTGAATTGTCTTGTTTGCACTCCCATCTATCTCTCTAGATCTTATTGATTTTATGTGTTATATGTCGGAACTATTGCAGTGCATTAAATTGTGGTAGTTAAGACTTTAGATGAAGCATAGATCTAGCTTGTTTCATACTTGTTGTGTAAGGCTATAATAATGATAAAGCTGCTGTTGATGGTGTAGACTTAGCTAAAATGATGAAAAAAAATGAATTTTAAATTGATCATAATTATATTATGCCTTTTATTAATGAATCTCATCACCTTTGCATCTTTGTGGTTCATTTTGTTGATCATCCATTTATTCTTGTTCAATTTGAGTTGCTATCACTTTGAGTAATCTATAAGAGCCACTTGTGTAGTTTTACAATGCTGAATTATTCAATCATTCTGTCCCAAATTGAGATGCTATCACTTTGAGTAATCTATAAGATGCTATAACTTTGAGTAATCAATGAGGCTGTGAGGAAGGCTGGGATTGGGAGGGCTATGTAGGCTGCTGGGGATTGGCAGCTGGCTGGAGGTGATGGCAACAGGTTGGCGGTTGGAGAGAGGAACCATAGAGCAATTTGGGGACAGATAGACACCTCCTTGAGACGAGTTACAACCTGAAAACATTCTCTCCTGTGGATACAACCCTCGGAGGGGAAAATTGGATGCCGACGACTGTCCTGATAGAAATTCAAGCAACGAACTGCCCTAGCACACAACAAACAACACTTATATAGACCTAGCATATAGAGGAGTGAGCCCTACTTCCAATAGAAGTAACACCATACTTGGAAGGACCGGTCGGTCTCTTCTTTGCCTGGTCCAAAATGGTCTAGTGCCGCTCGCGATTTTTTTTGTGATTGAGGTGCGAACGCCACCCCACGTCACCTATTTTTCAAATCTTATTCTACTCCAAATGTCCTGATTACTTTAGATCTATGGTTATGCTGAGTTTGTTTGAGTGTAATTGCTTTCTCAATGTTCGTTAATATTGAGCTTGAATCTTCAAGTCATCCCATTATTAAAGTATCATATTATATAAACCTAGAATAAAGGGGAGTGGGCCCCGCTTTCAATAGGAGAACACCATACTTGGAAGGGCCGGTTGGTCCTTCCTTTATCTAGACTGAACCAGTCCATTACCGCTTGCAACGTTCGTCGTGACTGACGCGCGAACGATGCCCCGCGTCGCCTAGTTTGCAAATCTTATTCTACTCCAAAGCTCCTAATTACTTCAGATCTATGGTTATGCTGTGTTTTTTTAGTGTAATTGCTTTCCAACTGTTCGTTAATAATGAGTTTGAATCTTTAAATCATTTTATTATTAAAGTAGCAGAGCACAGGTTTATGTCCAATTTCTCTAAGCATATGTGTGTTATAATAACTTTCTGTAAGCTTAATTAGAAATTTAATCTTTTTTTAATACAATTTGCATTGGAATGTTAAATATACCTCTTTTAATTCATTTATTCACTTGACATGCCATACTTCTTTTATCTGCTGTTCCAGGCACTACAAATTTGTTGGCTTTGCATAATACTTGGTCGAAGTTCTATGGATATAATATTTTTTTCTTCAATTTTACTATGTTCAGATTATCTCGAGTATAAGGCTACTACCATTGTTTGTGTAAATGGCGATCCTCATTTTATATCATTTTAATCGCAGTAACCTTTTTTCTATTGAAATCTTATCATCACTTTTATGACAAATTGAACCTTGCTTGAAACTACTTTATAAACTATGCACATTCGTGTATTTTTGAATAGTGGATTTTCTCTCGCATGAACGTTCACATAATTGTGCAAGTCTGAGTAGTTAACTCCTAATTCGATGATTGAAGATATTTGTTTTGAGACATTTACATACATACCACCCAATTCCTTTGTATTACATATCTTACACTTAAACTTTGCTCTTTTACATTTCTAACAACCAAAATCTTTCATATGACAAACAAAATCACTATTTTAACTTTTAAAAGTGAAATGCACATTTTATTGCATAGGTAAGCTGACATGTATGTAAAAATTGAAGCTTAGGTGTAAGATATGTAATTAAGCTGACATGTATGAAAAAATTGAAGCTTAGGTGTAAGATATGTAAATAAATAGGAACTGAGTGATATGTATGCAATCTTCCTTTTGCTTTATGTATGTATTATTAATGGATTGATTAATACGTACTCGTGTACATGATTTGAGTGCATGCAGGAGGATAGGATGGCAAGTTATGCGCAGAAGTAAGATTGTTGGATTCGAGTAAACTTAAGAAAATTATCAAAAATATTATTGTCTATGGGCTCAGGAAATTGTTCTGCTTAAATTATATCTATAAGTTGAGTGTACTGTCAGTAGTGCACTACATTTCTTTGCTATCATTGCTGTAATATTACTTAATCACCCTGTGTTGATTGTACCAAGAATATGTTTTAGCTTGTAAAACACCTTTTCCTTGTTCTACAGATATAATCAGTACAAGAACATCCATGCACTGATTGATAAGCATGAAGGTGGCTTGGATGCATTTTCTCGTGGTTACGAAAAATTTGGCTTTAATCGAAGGTAGTCTTCAACTTTTCTTCTTTAAAAGGTTGTTTATAATTGGTTTCTGTCATCTGTTTTGAGGTAAATTGATGTCTAAAGAGTATCTCTCATGAGCGAGCGTAACTTATGTTGCTAAATAAATTTGTTGGCGCATTTAGATACTTATCGCCTCTTTTCTGTGTATTTACTTATCTAATATGTAAACATTACCTTTCAAATTTCTACCACCCAAAATTTTTGTATCACATAAAAAATACTACTATTTGAACTTGAAATATACATTTTCGTGAAAATCAGCATGTTGCTTTACTATTTTAAAAATGTACAAAAACTATGCATGTAAGCATTTATGATGCACAAAAAAGAGACCTATCATTTAAAAGTATGGTTGATAACTTCCTATCATTCTCTACATGCATCAAAATGAAAGAACCACTAAGGGCGTGCTTAGCACAAAAAATGAGCGGCCCTATTACATTCACGTGGCGTATGGAAAAATAAAACTTGCTTCGAGGACAATAGAAAAGCAAAATGTGGCGCTTCTTGTTGCCTTTGACACCATATGTCCCACTTCATCGAAAATTGTAAAAACTGCATGATATTAGCATTATCTCCATCAATGATGATGCCCCGGCATTCTTGTATCCACGGTTGGCATATTTTGAAAGGATTTGATAGCTTGAAGTTCAACTTGGGTGCAATCCCAATGCTCAAGTTTAGATGTTGGATATGTAAATACATAGGATTTGAGTGGTAAGAATGTAAATCTTCCTGAATTGTTTTGATTGATCTAGAGAATCAACGGCCCTTGCATATCATCTGCTATTTAATATGTGATGCCCGTGCTTCATCACCGTTGAGGAAGAAACCCTGCACAGCTTCTTCTATCCTGTCATATTAAATTTCAAAATTTATGACCTCCGATGGTCAACTTTTTGCTGTATTTTTCATTTACATTGCCTTGTTCTTTTGTTGCTACTTATATCCAATTTTTAGTATTCAAGAAAACCAGAGATTGAAAGAGAGAGAAGTGTTTTGTGATTTATTGGTTAAAAGGGGATTGTTGGTTTACCTTTGAAGGGTTTGAATGTTATTTTACATGCATGCTTGCAGATTATCATGAATTTTGTTTGTGATTTTGAAAATTTGTTATTTTACATTGCCTTGTTATTTTACATATACATTTTTGCAGAACTTAATTGTGTGATCTTGAAAGAATTGCCCTGTTTGTGATTTTATGATTGATACTTTCTAATTTTGTGACCATATATATTATATATTTATATTTTTGCCTACTTTGGAAAATTTGTTATTCCAAGCTTCTTTTTTTGGGCGATCTGGAATGGACTCATTCTTAGTGAAGCCACCTGAAGATTTTGAATTTTCTTGGTTGGTTAACTTACTGAATTTCATGAAAAAAATATGCTAGCTCTAATACCAGGACTTTTCCTCACTTAACCATGTATAACTTGTTGAAATGTATTTATGGGTTGGAAAAATAGCTACCAGATGCAAATTCGTGATTTCATTGATGCTAAATAGTTAAATATATGATAAACTAGTATGTATCTATCCTATTCAATGTTGAATACTTATTTTAGAATATTGTTTTAATTACCCATTATTATTTTCTATTTTTATTTTTATTTTTGAGGTTCTTGTTCTTTATTATATTTTAACTTGTATTCTCGCAGAAGTGAAGTTCAAGACTAAACCATGCAAACTTTGGGCATTTTTTAACTTTTACTTTGTTCTTGTTTCAGTGAAAGTGGTATTACTTACAGAGAATGGGCTCCGGGAGCAAAGGTAAGGTTTGTTTTGCTTTTTTTGCTTCACCTTTAAATTTCAGTTTTTTTGCTTATTATTGTACTCCTTTTAACTTGAATCATGAGAGCTACTTTGTGACTTTGAGAGATTTATCTCTCCATATGCATATATTTATGGACATTTACAGACATAGTATCACATTGTTTAAAAAGATGTTTTGAGGATTACGGCTTGAGGCATGCCGCAAAAAGATCAAAAGATAATTTAAGTACGAATGTTTGATTATGTTATTAATTTATTCTTTTGTTTTAAATTATATTGAATTTTAAATTAATTAATACTAAGAAAAGAATAATAAATAAAGAACATTTAAAAGTTACAAATGAGATAGAATTAGATAATAATAAATATGATGATTGTTTTGAAGTTGTTGAAAGCAATGAAGAGTCTACTAGGGATCTGAATCTCTTTGAATATTTAAATTTTAAGTGCATGTTTACTGAGAATCACATCTCAAACATATATTTTAAATCAATATTTATGACTAAGATTTATAATTTATGTCTTTATGATAATAAACTAAATCAACATATCAATGATTTATGCCATATTTATAAATGTTTAATTTTATGAGTTTTTTTTTTTTTTTTTTTTTTTTTTTTTTTGAGGGTTTTTTTTAGTCTTATGTCTAGCTGTGCCTCAAGGCTTATGCTTCGCCTCGCTAGAGCAAAATGCCTCAATTCCCGATTTCACCTTTTTAAATATTACATACCACTAATTCCTATGTATTTACATATCTAACAACTAGACATTACTTTTTACATTTATACCACCCAAATCTTTCTTATCACATAAAAATACTACCATTATTACTTATAAAAAGTGAAATGTACCTTTTTCATGCATATGCAAGGTGGTATTTATGCTAAAATTGAAGTTTTGGTGTTAGATATGTAAATACAATACCTTTTTCATGCATATGCAAGGTGGTATTTATGTTAAAATTGAAGTTTTGGTGTTAGACATGTAAATACATATGAATTGAGTGGTATGTATGTAAACATTCCTTGGATTTAATTTGATGGATTCATATGTTTTTCATGGTCATCTTAATTGAATATCATATCAAGTTTTGTTTCTAACACATGACCAATTTATTTCAATAAAAACTCTGATCCCAAACAATTGGGATAATGCTAATGATGTTGATGTTGTACATGGTGGAACAATGGAAGGGGGTTTAAACGTAATATGCGGGATGTTTCAAAATCTATGTGTGGGTTGAGGGTGAATTTGAATGATCTTTTGTGATGATAAAAGGTTTCGACAATAAAAAGAGTGTTCTTTTAATGGTTTTGTGGTAAAGGCGTTAGAGGAACAGTTTTTTCTCTTATTGGTTTTCATGTGATTTAGAAGTCTATCATAATCCAAGTTATATTCTGATTGTCATGCATGTTATGTGCGAGCATATGCGAGCATTCGCAGAGCAGAAAGGTTAAGATTTTCGATGGGATTGTATCTGAAATTTAAGATAAACCTCAGGATTATAGTGGAATTATTCTTAGAGTAATTTGATTATGTATCCGAAATTTGATATGTTTTATGCATGTTAACAACCACTTTTTTATGTAAAAAATTTTTGTTCATGAACATCTTCGACGTTATTACATGGTATGGAAATCGTTATTTTTAATTTCATGATAAGGTTGTTTATGGACTCAAATTTTAATCTGTTTACAATAAAGTTGTACGCTCATCTTGTTTTTGGATTATTATTTCTTGGGCTCCTTTTTTAGTTTTTCTTTTTTATGTGTAGCTTATCTTTACATCTTTGACTAGCACTGAGAAAAGGTTTAGCAGAATGGTCATCTCATATTGATGATAATACTTATGCTTTGATTTGTCAGTCAGCTTCATTGATTGGAGATTTTAACAACTGGAATCCCAATGCTCATGTCATGAACAAGGTATGCAGTTCAACTTTAAAAGCTGACGCAGGCTATACTATCCACTTTCTAACTGATCTTTGAGTTTTACTTTTTTTTTCTCTGAAATATTGCCTAGTTTTCTGTAAATACTTAAGGATGACATAAATTTCTAGTTTCCCCACGTATTTTTTCCTTGAGTTGCATGCATTTGTTTGCTTGGATATTTATTTAATATCTAAGGATGATCAAAGCTTAACTAGATGACCAGAGTTAATCCAAACTACATAGTAAAAATAAATATTATTATTGAAAATAAATGGTACAACCAGCCCACTTGAAAGGAAAACATTCAATAATGCAACATCTGGAAATTTGAAATAGCAACATACACGGCACAAACACTCAAACTAAGGTGGATTACGGGTTGTGGTGGTGGCGGTTAGGGGGCTTGGAGAGACGGTAGCGTTGGGGTAGGTGGATTGGACTACAAAAAACATTGGCTAGGGATGGTTATGGGTGGCAAGAACATCAGCTAGGCTGCAGGGAGGTGGTTCTCACTGCCAGGACAGCAGTGACGGGGAATGATTTTGGGTTGCTGGAAGATCAATGGTGGCGTAAGGGAAGTGCTGGAACAACAGCTAGGCTACAGGGATGCAATTTAGGTGGCTGGAACAACAGTCGACAACAAGGTGAGGGGCTTAAGGGGATGCGTCGGCGAGTCTAAAGGTTGGGAAAAGGTGGAGGAAGGTGCTGGGTTGGTAGAGCAGTGTAGCAACCAGGATGGCAAACGGCTGGCTGCTGGGAGATGGGGAAACAATAGGGAGAACAACCAAGATAGCTATCTCCGGGCAATTGTTTCAGGGAAGGCAGTGGCAACGGTGATGGGAAGGATGCGGGGGAAGCGTAGCGGAGGATAGTCACCACCTTGGGCACAAAATACAATTGGAGCACCACTCGTCCCTCAGATACAACTATTGAAGAGAAATTTGAGACGCCTCCGGGCAACTGTTTCAGGGAAGGCAGTGGCAACGGTGAAGGGAAAGATGCAGGGGAAGGGTAGCGGAGGATAGTCAGTACCTTGGACACAAAATACAACCGGAGTACCACTCGTCCCTCAGATACAGTCATTGAAGATAAATTTGAGACGCCGACGGCTATCCCAAACAAAACACACAAAAAAACTAACCCTAGAACATTAGAAATACAAATATAAAATAATAGGAGGATGTGTTGACTCCACAACATTGACAAAACTTGGATCGGTTCGGTCTAGGCACGAAAACTGAAGCCTTCATGGTCGCAAGGGATCGCGGAAGACATTCTTATACGTGAGGCTTCTTCATTCTCTCAGGGTTTGGAGAGCTTCAACCTCATATGTCGAACCTTCTGTTTTCTCGTAGTATGACGTGGATCAGTCTAGTCGAAGATAGTGGAAATCGCGTACTCTCCCTATAAAATTCTGTAGATGTTATTCCAAAATACATCCTGGTAAAGTAAGTATCCATTCTCTTTTGCGACAATCTCAGCTGGCACTGTAGATAAAGGAATACTCACAAATCAGGTCTCGAGCCACTACATCGGTAAATTGCTTCTCCCACTTTTTGTGATCCGCTTGACGTATTTGATAAACAATTTTGTTAGGAGAAATCAACTCTGGGATAAAATCTCTGGCAAACTGAGCTGCTCTCTCAAGCAGTCAATCACTCATAAGAAATTTTTTTTTCTCTGGTAGGACCTGGTTTCCCTTAATAAGGTACTTTCTAACATTGCGTTATCCCTCTTGTACTTTTTCTCTGGTAGGACCTGGTTTCCCTTAAGAACGTTCTTTCCCCCCAAGCTCTTAAGGTACTTTCTAACATTGCGTTATCCCTCTTGTATGACCATCTGTCGATGAGTACACTGATAATCTGAGTTCAATATTCAAATGACTTCATATGAATTTTCAGAAGTAGTTCAAAAGCTCCCTATCTCTGATATGTTGGACCTCACTCTGTAGAGACAACTCAGGAGGCAGACTATATATCTGAGAATTTTGAAATCCTTTTATCTGAAGTTGCTCTGTATTTAATATCGGTTCGTCAAACTCATGACCCTTTTATATATTCAATACCAGTCATGTTGATGCTCCTCTCAATGCCTACAAAAAGGTAGCTTGAGATACCACAACCTCATGCTTTGTATGAATGCCCTTTACCTCAAACTCACTATTTTCTAGAATAGCTGGAGTCTCTCTCGTGGGCTCCTCTTGAATCACTAGCATCGCTTTCTTGTCGGCTTGACGTTGAGACTTTTCTCTGACCTCTTCATTCTTTCCAGTGTCAGTGTCTATTTATTAAACTTCATTTTGCTCACTGAAATAGATCATTCCACTGGTTTTGCAATTTGATTTAATATAATCTAAATTTATGGCACTGGAAACACTTCCAGACTGAAACATTTGAGAATGCGGATTGGTTTCACTTGTTATATCCTTTGTATTAGTCTCCGCTCAAGTGAGTTGGCTTGGATGCTCTGCTGGGTGTACTCATGTCGCTTGATCTTCGGGTTGAATTATGCTTGTAAGATGTGGTAGATACCCGGTGATGATGTAACTAGTGAGACTTGAGCACATATCCTATCTATAATGTGTGTATACATACTGGTATTTCATTTACCTTTTCATCTTTGACCAAAGTAGTAATTTTACTCTGTCCTTCTCGCTATCAAATAATCTTCAAGTTCGTTCACCACTGAGATGCACCCTATATTAACTTCTTGACTGCTAGTTTCACCATTCATTTCGGTGGAACGTCTTGGCACTTAAATACATTCCAAGGTCCAGAGCCACTCGATGAAATTGTTCAGATCCAGGTGATCGTTAAAATGTGAAAAATCCATCTTTATTTTAAAATTCTACATTATCCAATATTTCATGCCAAATCTTCTAGGTAGCAGTTCTTTATCTTGGGGTTCCAATGGAATTTGTTTGACCACTTTGGTTAGTCTTCTCTCGAAGGCAACGAGTCTCTGTTGTAGTTGGAGACTTTTCCACAGCATATCCTCTATAGAAATCTCCCAGACACTTTTTTTGTGGATTTCTCATAAATGACATCATGTTCATTCACATTGATCAGGCTTCTGACTATTGTCTCCTCGGTGCCATGACTAGTGTTCAAATTTGGGTAGGTGGAAGTGGGTGTATAGGAGTTGTATAGGGTGGGAAAGAAAATTTTTGCGTGGCCAGATTTAGAAATCAGAAAAGAGAAGAGTTTTGGGTGAAGATAGGGTTTGATATTGGTGGATGCTAGAAACCCTAGGATATGACTAGCGTTATGTTAGTTTTGATACCAAATGGTACCGAAGTTATTTCAAACCAATATAGGAAAAGAAAATACTATTACTGAAATCAAATAGTTTGTTACAACCAACACACTTGAAAGAGAAAATGCAACAACACATCCAAAAATCCTAATTAGCGATAGTCATGACGCAAACACTCAAATTAGGAGGTAGTGATGGTGGCCATTAGGGGGCTTGGAGAGGCGGTAGCTTGGGGGTAGGTGGAATGAACATTCAAGAAACAACAACTAGGGGAGGTTCTAAACGGCGGGAACATTAGATAGACTGTTGGGACTTGGTTCAGTGGCTAGGACAACAACGAGGCGGTACGGGGAATGGTTTTAGGAGAATGGAACAACAATGGCAGTGTTGGGGAAGTGCTGGAACAACAGCTGGGCTGCAGGGATGTAGTTTAGGTGGTTGGAGTAGCAGTGGACAACAAAACGAGGGACATATGGGGTTGTGACAATGAGACAAAAGACCGATAGAAGGTGAAGGTGTTGGGATGGTTGATCAGCATGGCAACCAGGATGGCAGGTGGCTAGCTGTTGGGAGGTGGGGGAAACAACAAAAAGAACAACCAAAGGGGCTTTTTACGGGCGACTGAAGCAAGGATGGCAATGGCAATAGCAAAGGGAAGGATGCAGGGAAGGGTAGCGTAGCATAGTCACCACCTTAGGCGCGAGATACAAGTCGCAACACCACTCGTCCCTCTAATACAATCGTTGAAGGGAAATTTAAGACGTCGACTGCTTTTTCAAATAAAACATGCGAAAAAACTAACCCTAGAACATCATAATCACAAATATATAATAATAAGATAGTGAGGAGTGGCCCAGAAGGGCTGGCCGACTCCACAACAACGACAATCTGAACTGCTTCGGTCTAGGCGCAAAATCTAAAGCTTGCATAGTCGTAGAAAGTTTACTCATTCGACCCCTATATGCGGGATTGAGGAAGGCGTCCATGTACGCGACGCTCCAACGCCATCTTACTTCTTTTGAGACTTGAAATGAGATGATGGCCAGATACCTCAATTAGATTGAACACATCTCTTGAGCGGATAATCAGATGGCCGACCTCCTGTCCAATTGCATCCATCTGGGAGAAGGGCGACCTCAGAGAATCCACCAAACGACCATTGAAAAAGCCGAGATGGTGGAAATAGAAGCTGACGAATTAGAGAGCTGGGTAGACCTGTACATCTTGTTCTTTAATGGATTAATGGGCTGATCCAACTGCAGTCGTTCCGATTAATGTTCCATTGAGCGATCCCTTTATTGCTGTAGCATTGTTTCTGCAGAAGATCTAGTCGAGTTGCCAGGAGTAGGGCGACTAGCTTCATTCCTCATGGACAGCGTCAGGAATGTCAGAGTGGTCGACCGAGTGCAGTAGACCCTGCTTTCTGCCTTTCCACCGAGGCCTCCCTCTTGTAGTGGTTGGACTACTCGCGACTCGTTGACCCTCACGGACAGCGTCAGGAATGTCAGAGTGGTCGACCGAGGGCAGTAGACCCTGCTTTCTGCCTTTCGACCGAGGCCTTCCTCTTGTAGTGGTTGGACTACTCGCGACTCGTTGATCTCTCGTCACTTTTCGCTACACATCTTCAGGACCGGCAACTGAGAGGGAACTTTTAGCTTTCTTCGAAAAGAGGCAACTGAGAAGGAACTTTTAGCTTTCTTCGAAAAGATTGTTCTTTCAATATGGATTACCGGCAACTGAGAAGGAACTTTTAGCTTTCTTCGAAAAGATTGTTCTTTCAATATGGATTACCTCGTCGGTCCCAATTCTTTGAAACACAACAGTTGAAGAAAAAACAGAGTAAACGAGATCCAAAACTTCGAAACTTTCGAGCCCTCTCGTTAGAACCATCTATGCTAGTGGTTGCTTCTCCGCTCCGGCAGCAACCCGGTGAAACTTCTTCTTGGTTGCCCGAGCGGCTAACATGGCCTACCTCTCAGCCTCGCGGGCATCAGAGGCCTTCAATCATCCTTGGTTATCTTACCGAAGATGTCCGACTGACCACCTTATTGATAACCACCGGCTCGTGGTATTGATGAACCGACAAACATTTTCCTTCGATCGACCTGCACCAACACCCTCGCTAATGCCTTTTTCTTTACCTCCGACAGGGCTTCCCTAGACGAGATTATCCGGATAAATCTCCCCCTTGAGGAGAAATCTAGGCAAAATCATGGCTTCCAATCTTTCTCCTTGTTTTTGAGATCTAGTAGCTGGAACCTGTCGACTGAAGTGAACTGAACAAACCCATCTACTCGGAACGAGAACAAATAGCTAAATAGGTTGTTGAACAATGGGATCTCTAGCTTTCGACAAAATATACCGATGATCATAATAGGTGCAATGGAGATGGGCTTATCTTCACCGTAGTTAACAAAAAATGGAGCTCACCTCGAAGCAAAGCTACAATCGAAGACCGAATCGATACTGATCCTTGTAGAACAGGAGGTAAATGTTGTATAGTGAAGCGCTTGGTCGACCTCACTAGCGACTCAGAGCTTGATGGTGAAGTCAAAGACACAACCCTCTGGAAATAAGTCAACCTCACCTTGAATCCTCTACGATTGGTCGTTCAGGGCGACCGATCTGAAATCTTGTGGAGAATACCGGGGAGCCATTGTGCAAAGTGCAATAATGGAAGCCGAAAGAGCAAAAAGAAGGGAAGAGAGCAAAGGAAGTGTGGCCACACGATTCTATGCCCCTTTATATATATAGAGAAATAGATGAAGTCTAACCATCGCCTAAAAGTGAAAACAAAAGTAAACGATCATTTATGTAATAAGTTATTAGTGAGGTCACATCAACACAAGAAACGAGAAAATATTTTTATTCTTGAAATGACACTTAAGTTACATAAAGCGCTCATAATTTAGTCCGACGCAAGATATTTTATCAAGAAAATTGTCGCCTCTTCGACAGAGATATGTCCTAGCCGATGCAGTCTACTATACAAGAACTCTTCTCCAGACCTAAATTGATTTGGCTGATTTGACTCAACTTATGCCTGAAAGATCAGTAATCTCTCCTAAACCCCCGATAGCTCGTGGCGAATAGTCGTCGCCTTCTCCTCGACATGAACTATACGGGCCAATAGCTCACACATCTTCTCGTCCCGTTGGATCCTTGTCAATCGAGTGAAGGAGCTCTCAATTTTGTCCAAGTGATGAATAAGTGACTCAGGGAATGTCCGGAGTTGGCCAGTTGCTTCCTCGCATCCTTCATGTTGGTTGTCTAGGTGATTAGCCCCATCATCCTCGCTGGAAAGCCAACCACCCTCTCCTGGTGCCTGGTTTGCTATCACTAGTGCCCTGATCGAACTTTCATCTAGGTCGATCAGAGTCAAATCATGATCCAAGTTTATCGGTGACGGTTCATCTGCACTAAGAGTCATCGTAAAACAAAAAAAAAACTTCAAAAATTAAATCCCACAAACAAACAAGACTGAAGTCTCATATCCAAGAGTCAAGTCAACTCGGAAACTTTAATAAAGTTATAAAGCTCACCATGAAGCACTGGATAAAGCAACAGGGGAACGCCAGAAGTCATTTGAGTGACCTGACTAATTGTACGGTCTTGTGCCATAACAAATGGCTGAGCGGTCGGATCGAAAGTTGGAACGACCGGCTGAATGTTCCTTCGCAGATTGCCTAGGATTGAATCGAACAACCCCACTTGATGGGTCTTGTGCCATAGCAAATGGCTGAGCGGTCAGATCGAAAGTTGGAACGACCGGCTGAACGTTCCTTCGCGGATTGCCTAGGATTGAATCGAACAACCCCACTTGATCCAGCAGTGGGAGTACAACCTTCTTTTTCTCACGACGACCTTCTCCCTCCGCTCACCTTCCGGACGGTCCCATTCTTACAATTTCCCGAAGGCAAAGCAAATCAATTCCTTGGTGGGAACATCAACATGAGATTTTGGCAGGTTATCCATCACAATGCTGAAGACACGAAAGCTGGCCGACTCAAATAAAATGAAGCACGGGGTAAATTAAGAATGGGAGGGAGTCCCATCAATCCCTATTTATAAGAATCGAAAGCGCCGAAATTAAGAAAATTCAATTATCAAATCATTAATTAATATGAATGCAATTTATTTTTGTATTAAATTATCTTATTATTTTTGCAGCGTCGCTTTCAAGATGTAAGAAAATCAAATAACTAAAATATGTACATCCTTAAAGGTGTTTGCGATGATCCTAAAGATATCTAACGGTCTAGAAGAGAAGAGTGCGATGAAGACTGACCCACTCCAAGGAGATCGTGGGACCCACTTGACTGAATGAGCAAAACCATACGGGTCAAACCATCCAAACCTAAACCTACCTAATCACAAGGCGGACAAGAAGACGATTGTATGATCCAAGCATGAGCCATTCGACCAGAATCAAGACGAAAAAGCATCCAAGCCAACTATCACAGAATGATCGACTCGATGCGATAGCTTGCTCCTAGTAGAGCCGATCTAAAGGAATATCTAATCCCACGAAGTACCTCCGGCCATTCCGTGGAGACTCTAAAGACTCCTCATTAGGGATCAATGAATATCAACTAGGTTGGATCAACCGATTGAACCCTCTTGACCAAGCTTAGCCGACTGACCGAATCATAGCGAGCTGATCTCGTGGACTAAGCTTAGCCGTTCAAGCCAGAATAGAGGGATGATAAGCCCATACTTATAAAATACCAACAATACTCTACCACAAACCTCTTTCAAATAGGAAAAAAATATATTCTCACAATTGTACTGTCTCCCTATAAATTAAAAAAAAAAATTATGAAGATGATACTCTTCATCATTGTTTATTATAGTCTCTCTTTTTCTCTCTCTATCACTTCATTCTTATTATAGTCTCTCTTTTTCTCTCTCTATCACTTCTTATTTTACGCTCTTTTTCTTGGGTTTGGTTCGCGGACAATCGGATTTATCAGTAAACCTCTTGCTTAAGCAGTTACTCTCCCTGCTCGCTTCTATTGGGGGCCAATAATGAACTTCAATGCCCCATCTTTTCTTCAGAAACTTTCTGATCAAGCATTCAGGCTGGCATTTTACTAAATTTAAAATATTAAATCGTCATATCTCTGTCATAAAATTTAAAATATTAAATCTCTCCACACCATTTTTTTTGCCTTTACGAGGTGTCAAATTTTTGAACCATTCTATGAATAATTTTCTATATTTTAACTATTCTTAGTATCATAATTAGTTTTCAAAATGGTGGCCGCATCAATAACACAGTCTTTCATTTATTATTGAGATTGGTTCTTTTGTTTTGTTAGGGCATGTATTTCTGTGCTTGGTATTCGACAAACTGATAATTTGTTTAGTTATTTGCAGAACGAGTTTGGTGTGTGGGAGATAATTCTGCCAAATAATCCGGATGGCTCATCAGTTATTTCCCATGGCTCGCGAGTGAAGGTATTGCTTCCACGTGTTTATAATGCTTTAGTACAAGCACGTGCAACAACAATTGCTTTCTTAAATTACCTAAACATATGTCAATGGAGTGCAGCACTACAATGACCTTTGAAATAGAACATTTCCTATATAAGTGCAAGAATTTTTACCAGCAAACAATTTTATGGAGCATTTACATATATACCACTCGATTCCTATGTATTTACATATCTAACACATAAAATTTTCATTTTTTTTAATATTTATACCACCCAAATTTTGCTAATCACAACATACTACTATTTTAACTTTTAAAAAGTAAAATACATCTTTTTGTACATAGGAAAGATGGTATATATGTAAAAATTGAAGTTTTAGGTGTTAGATATGTAAACACATAAGAATTTAGTGGTATGTATGTAAATCTTCCTAATTTTATTTTGTTTTCTGCTGATGTCTTATGAACATGCTTTTGACGTACTTATTTTTACTTGATTCTGAGTGCATAGCGTTAGAAATTTCAGCACTTTAGTACTCCAAAATGGTTATTTATGCTAAATGCGATTCTTTTGGACCAGCTTAAAAAAGTGCGCAAAAGCAGACATTGTACACAGTGTTAGGTCGACTAATTGTAAGATATTTTAGTGCTTCAATCATACCTTATATACTATTTTGAATCGATATATTTTTCAGGAGAGTTGCTTTCTAGCTTCGTGCTCTAGCTCACATTTTTTTGTTTTTTGTTTAAATGTTTTTAACACTATTCTTCTTACTTGATTCAAGCACATAGAATTAGAAATATCTCCATGCCAAATTTTACTATAATTTTTTATAAACTGGTTTATGCGGCACTAATAACATGAATTTCAAGCTGAGCTTGTGGTTGCCCTTTGATGTCTTCATGTAGAATCCTAACAATGAAAAAGCTGCTTCACTGCTGGAAAACGTTTCACATATTTTAGTTATGTTTGAGAATTTTCTGCACAAGTTCTTAAATAGTTGTTATGTCCATTTAATAATATTTAGGGGCATTTATATACATCACAACCAATTCCAATATATTTATCTAACATCTAAATTTTATTTTTTACATTTTTACCACCCAAATTTTTCATATCACATAAAAAAAATACCACCATTTTAACTTTTAAAACATGAAATACACTTTGTCATGCATAGATAATGTGGCATGCAAGTAAAAATTGAGGATTCGGTGTTAGATACATAAATATGTGGAACTGAGTGGTATGTATGTAGATCTTCATAATTTTTATTGCTACGTCAAGTTTAATTCAGAAGTGCATAGTTGTTTTAATCTTGAAATTATGCTTGCTCTATAACAGTCTTTTTTTTCTAATTTCAAAGTTCAAATGAATTGGTAGATTCGCATGGAGACACCATCAGGAATCAAGGATTCCATTCCAGCATGGATTAAGTTCTCGGTGCAAGCTCCAGGCGAAATTCCGTACAATGGGATATATTATGACCCTCCTGAAGCGGTATAATCATTTATATTTACAACGCAATTTTGGAGTTTGTCTGACCGTTGGAGGTAGTTCGTTTTCTGTGGTAGATTTTATGCTGTAATCTGACATTTCAAATTCTGCAGGAAAGGTATATATTCCGACATCTTCAGCCAAAACGTCCCAGCTCATTAAGAATTTACGAATCACATGTTGGCATGAGCAGTACTGTATGTATACTTTGTTTCTGTTTTTAGGAACTAAATCAAGAAATTTTATAAGCTTTGTTTGAAATTAGTATCAAGTGGTGATGCCCATATATAATTGCCAAACCTAGTGTAATAATTAATTTTGTTTCGCGGATTGTTTATGCAATAAGTTTATGTTACTTTTTTTTTTCAATAGAGCGTGATTTTATAATAAGAAAATTACAGTAATATATTATGGGCAACTGGCAAGAATTGTCAAAGGAAAAATGAAACATATAAGACAAAACAAAAGATAACTAGGACCATGGGTTTCCATTAGAAATAAAAATTACTCCTAATAAGAGAAGTAATGACTATATTGTCAACATTCAAACTGTCATTTTTTTTGCATAAAACTATTTTTCAATACATTTGTTGCATACTAGGCCTCTTTTTCAAAGAGTTTTTTCCATAAAACTTTTTTTTTTCAATGCATATGTTGCGGAAGGTTGGACAGTGAAATTAAATTTTCTGTTATTCCATTTCTATCATTGACAGTTAGTATCTAAATATTAATTGAAAGAACCTTTAAAGAAAATAGTTTAAAATAATACAATTAAATTTATCTCATTTCTAGTTGTTCGCATTTTCTATAATTATATTTTGTTACTCATCATATAATAAAAAATTAAACCTGAAATGTTATTTTAAAACCAGTGAACAAACTATTGTCAGTGAATACTCACACTCCTAAAATACAATAACACAATACATGCTAGTCGTAGATATTATAAATCAATGTAAAAGTACCAGACAATTTATTTTTTTAGATATGATTTTAGTTTATAACATCCAGTATGTTTTACCGTAACTGTAACATGTCTATCATTTTATATCTATACAACCGTCATAAGAGTATCGTCTAAAATTATGTCAATTATGCATCAATATCAATAACCTTTTCCTTTTACGTGCACGAGTATCTTAGTGTTACCCGTTAGTACCATGAATGGGTGAATTCCATTATAGCAAAGCATGTACATAGAACCATACTATGAAAATTACTATCTAATGATTATTTCATTCTTATTTGCATAACAATCAATATATTTGTATAGCACTCAATATCCATGATAATTTAAATAATGTTGAGTACTCATATCATGTCTACATTATGAAAGAAAATTTAATAGAGTCATAAGTTATGATTTTGTAGTGGTTTTAATATAACTGATGACTGTAACAGTAAATGCATTTAGTATAGAAGAAGAAAATATTATTATGAGTACTCACCTAAATACCATATGACTTGCTTTTAGATTCCCAATCTTTTATTTTGATTTTGCCTTCTTTAATTTAACACCTGTAAAAATATTTACAATAATTAATTAAATGCTTAAGTGGTCATTTTATGTATATATCAACGCTCAATTATTTGATTTAATATATATTAATCTATTAAATCATAACATCCTAACCGTAGAGGAAGATGAAGCAAGAGGGGGTCTACTCGGCCACAAATTTCTAGGTTCTCCTTTCTTGCATAGGAAAATTGAACTAAAGAGAAGAAGCTTTCCTATTCTCTGCATGCGAGCCCGTCACTTGAAAGCCAAGCCACTCAATTCGGCTCTGCACTCGAAGGCAAAAGCTCCTTTCTGTCTTGCTCCCTTTTTTCTCTCCTTTTAATTCTCTTTCTTCCTTCACTTGGTTAGGGCATGATTTCCCTCCGCAGGGGGCTCTGATTCCCTTCTTTCTCAGAGAGGAAACCTTAATTTTCCTCCCTCTTCCCCCCTCTTTGCTCGTTGCGCTATGGACCTTCAACGATGCACGAAAGGTCAGATGTTTGCCTCCTTTCATCATTTGCTGCTTGCGGCTGTCGATAGAGCCCCTCGACTCCTTTTTCATCTTCTTGCTCTTACATTTTAGCTCTTACTTCTCTCCTCTCTCACTCGCCTTCTCTCTATCTCTTGCTTTGCTTGTTCCTTTGGTTTAAACGAAATGAGGGAATAAATTCTTCATTTTGATTTTTCAAGAGCATCATGTCTGTTTCCAATAGGCGCGTGAGGGGGATTAACTTTCACTTTATTTATTTTATTTTGGTTATATATATATATTGATACATAAAGGTTGTATGAGAAGAGCCCAAAAGAGATACCCTACCATACGATACAAGTACAGTAATACCCCAAAAAAAAGATACAGATAGACTCAATAAAATGTAAAACAAATTTAAAACATGCAGAAAACAAGTAGCTAGGGATGAGCTAGTATAGTCCTGCCTCTTATTCTAGCTTTAGGAGTGGAACCAGATAATAAACTTTGAAGAGTCGTGTCATTGTCATTAGTCTCCAAAGTATCATCCATTAAGTTTCTAAGTTGTAGTAAGCCCTCACCCTTCTTCTTCCGTCATGTGATCCTCGATCAGATTTGATGTTAGCACCGTAGTAGGAGGAAAGACAGTCGTTGCCACCGTGATAGGTTCCAGTGTATGTGAAATGTGAATGTGAATTGTTATCTCTGCAACTGATGCTTCCTGAATAGGAGCTGCGGGACTATCCTGATTTTTCAGTTCGAACATTATCTGTTGTATTATGGCTAGGAGAAGGGATCCTAGGGGCAGACACCAACTCCTATCTTGTGGTGATTCCCTCATCAGGTTTGTTGGGAGTGCGATCAAGCACATGGGATGCACTAATAGTGTGTTACTGCTTTAGGAGCGCGTTCAGGCACATGGAGTTCACTAATGGCGTGTTCCTGCTTTTGATTATTGGTTCTCAACTGTGGGTGCAATTTGAAACATTTCTCCTGTGGGTGTTCAAACATTTTGCAGTGCTTGCAGTAGTATGATTTTTGTTTCATAAGGATTTTTTGCCAATAACCATTGTGAGCAGATCCAAACCAGACTTCTTCTACATCGAGTAGTGTAATATCTCGTTCAATCAAAATCCTTGCAATAGAGGGCCTTGAGAAATGAACCGTAGGTAAGTTTATCTGCAAATATTTTTCAAGGATAATTCCAATTGCATATAAGATAAGTAGGTCAAAGAAATGAACTTGAGTCCTATAATTCCAATTGCATATAAGATAGGTAGGTCAAAGAAATGAACTTGAGTCCAGGTAATGAGAACCAGATAGGTTCAATTGGGGGTCTTGACTGGGATAAAAATGGGAGTTCATTTGAGCATATTCATATGTTTGCCTTCAATTGTGATGAATTTCTTTGAGAAAATTCTCGTGTAATCATCTTCTGTGTTCAGCTGTATCATAACATGCTTTCGTCGAAATGACCCACCTGTCAATCCCCAATAAGTTTGAAATCTTCAAAAATCTTTCTGATTATCTCCATGTTAGGGCAACCTAATTAGAACTTTCCAACTAGTGTAAATTTGTATTTTCCTGCACGAGTTTAAATTTCAGTGTCAGAAAAGAAAATTGTTGGTTTGCCCGCATTTTTCTCTACTTTTTTAATGAGAGTGCAATCGTCATTTCCTGCAACAAAATCATGGTAAATATGTGGGAATACTGCACTATCTGCGAGGTGGAAAGGGGAGCTGCGTTTGTGAATCACTATAGCATAAGAGGGTTTGGCGGGGTTATCACCGGCGAGCGTGGCGGCGTAGGAAAGCTCTGAGGTCATTACCTCAGCCAGTGTCAACCTGCAACACAGTGAAAAGTTGTACGAGTGTCGAACGGTTCTGTCGTAGACGACAGAGGCAGAGTCGAGCAGACTGGGAGGCTTTGTTGCAGAGGAGACACAGCAAAATCGATCGGCTCTGTAGCAGACGAGACGCAGCAGAGCAGCTCTGTCGCAGACGAGACGTAGCAGAGCGGCTCTGACACAACGCAGCAGAAGCTGGAAGATGTCGAGCGGTCGAGCGGCTCTGTAGCAGAAGCAGGCGAGCGGCTCTGTCTCAGACGAGACGTAGGCAGAAGCTATCGAGCAGCTCTGTCGCAGACGAGACTCAGGCACGAAGACGACGTGTCGAGCGGTCGAGCGGCTCTGTAACAGAAGCAGGCGAGCGGCTCTGTCGCAGACGAGACTCAGGCACGAAGACGACCGCAGCACTGTCGCCAGACGAGACGGGAGACAACGCGAATGGAAGCAGACGACACGAGACGAAGTGACGTGAGTAAATTCTAAAGCCGAAAGACGCTAGAGTTAACCATGGGGCGGAACCCTAGCAGAGCGGAATGGAGACATCAGATGTTATATATGTATATATGATTAATTAGCTTATAAATAACTTAAGATGATTGTTGTATTTCTGATTGTAGATCCAATTCTCTCGCTTAAACTTTGATGGTGTTCTCTACATGGATAAATGTTCGGTTGGAAGTTTGTTTCCAGTTCTAAAGCATGCTCCACTTTTCTCTTTTAAAGCTATCCTTTTGTTTGTCTTCCTTGACCTCTATTTATTAATTAGTTATTTTTTATGCGCAGGAGCCAAAGATCAACACATATGCTAGCTTCAGAGATGATGTTCTGCCTAGAGTTAAGAGACTTGGATATAATGCTGTTCAAATAATGGCTATTCAGGAACATTCATATTATGCAAGTTTTGGGTATAGTTAATTATTTTCCTTTAAAATTTATCTCTAGTGACATTTTTAAATGGCCATAAATGCTCACGTGTAACTTTTTTTTTTCAACTTTCATCCTTGTAAGCAAGAGCTGGGAGGATTAGTATTTGATACATGCTAGATTAGGCTGAAATGGTTGCAGTTTCTGCATTTATATTCATGTTTGATGTTAGCATGCAGCCAATGTTGCGGTAATCATTTTAGTTTTCAGGTGCTAACTTTGTTGTGCTAGAGGGAACATAGTTGCTTACACAGGCTTTGGTTGTCACTTCTCCCTCTTCCACCTCTTGTAAACGTGTTTGCTGCCTTTTTTATGATTTTTTTTTTATTCCTTTGACATACTATATATTTCAGATGGAGTAAAGTGCCAAAATAATCATCTTACCATTTACATTAGGCCATTTTAGTCTATGAGTATAAAAATGTCAAATTACTGCCCAACTACTTTTAATGATGACTATTTTAGCTCCCATCAAAAGAGACTGGGGGCTTTTATAGACTCGCAGACTAAAATAGCCCCTTTCAAAGAGTCAATGGACCGTTTTGACACTTTTCTCATTTCAGATGTTTTGTTTTGTTGGGGTCATTTAGAATGACGAGTAGACAAGGATTTTCTCTTAAGTAGGATTGAACTTCATATATCACGCTGGCTAAGTATTCTTGGTATAAGACCCTAGGGTATTATTGAGATTACTCCAGACAGAATCCCCCATACAAGAAACTTGATATGCTTGAAATCACTTGAGTAAAAAATAACTTTGTGCTTTTATTTTTTGCCGAAGTCTCCTGGTCGTCTAAGTAATATCAAACCCTTTCTTATGCGTTGTTTTAGATTACCTTGGGTTGGCAACTGTCTTGTTTGTCTGTCCTTTCTCCTGAATAGGGAAAGCCAATAGAGAATAATGCCTACAAATTTAGAGGACAATATTGATGGCTGAGTGACTATTACACACAACATCATGAGAATGATTGATTATAGAGGAATTGTGGCGGCTTTCAACAATCAATGAAAATGTTGAAGTGTTGTTTTGTTTGAATAATTGTATGTATCACAACACATGCCATGTGAATTAGCAATGTAGTGCATGTAGGGATGAATAATGTTGCCAATAGCAAATTTTAGTGTGTTGTAGGTAATAAGTGAGCACAATGTAAGATGAAGAGATGCAGCTGGCACTAGTAGGTTGATTGGTTATTGACAACAACATTGGGAAAGGTAATAATGGGTGTTTCATTATTATTGGAGTGGCATGATGCTTAGGTTATGTATGTTCATTTCTAAAAAAGGTTAAGGATTGTTTTAGTTTTAATGAAACAAGTTTAACAAGTTGAAGGTTTGATAACACATGATACTGGTTATTTAAAGAGGGTGAGTATCGGTCAACTTTTTTTTTTTTTATTGATTAATTATGAAAATATGGTATATGAAAATAAATCAAAATTGTGGCAAATGAAGATAGTCATTTGAGCAATATCGAGGCATGTTTGTATTTGATGTAAGATTGCAAGATGGGGAAAATTTTGTTGTTGGATAGATATTTTTAAGAAAATATATTAACTAGAAATTTGAAGGACTTGTTGAATTAATAACATCTCTCCTTCGTCAGCTAGGAGCTCATATGCTTTCCTAACACTTTCTATTTCCTCTGTGTTTTTCGTGTAACTAACTACTTCCATTTCTTCCTGCTTAACGAAAGACATCATTCTATTTGTTTAGACAATAAGATGTTATGTGCTCAAAATCATTGCCCTTGAAACACTTTTTGATTGGGAAGGGCTTGATTGTATCCACCCATCTTCTCTCCACCTTGAGTTGATTTCTCCTCATGTGAGTCTTGCTTTGAGGTGCTTTAGATTTTCTCACCACAAAACCATGCTCTTTTTGAATTTGATGGTTTTCAATTTGACTACTATTTTGTGAAACATATTTTTGTTCAAAAACTCATTCTGTGATTTGGAGTCATTCAATGAACTCATCTAGATCCAAATGGTAGTCAAACTACAGTAAGTCAATCTTCACCTAAAAGTTATTACCTCTTCTTTGATGCCAAATCGCCAGGGTTTGATTTTTCATCACTGGAAGCTTTTTGGTTGGGGGGTTAATCTCCTCTTCCTAATCTGTTGAGACATTATTTTGGTTATGGGTAACATCTTCAAGTTGCCTTCTTTCAAATTCGACAAGCTTTTTATATAATCAGAGATTTCTTTTTGCATATCTTTCGTTGTAAGCTCTTAGATATCCCATTAAGTTTTTCTCCTCATTGGCATGCTGTTGTTTCCTCACTTAAGGTTTTGGCCTAGAAGGGTGGCCGGTTTTGGTGTGGCCGAAGTTTAGAGGAGTTTGAGGGTTAGAAATGAAGAATAGGGTTAGGATTAGGGACTGGTATTTGTTGTCTCGAGGAATAGGGTTTTGTGAATTTTAGGTTTATGAGTGGAGAATAGCATGTCCATATAAAAATTTGGGTTTGAATGACTTTGATATCAAACACCATTCTAGTATTCCTATATGATATTTGAAGATCAGATCTAGCAAGGAGATGTAGAATGCCACAATGAAGAGAATATGCAAAGTTGGTAGAGGTTGGAAGGGAAACAAAGTAGTTCGGTTGCTTACCAAGAGGAAGACATCAAGTAACATCACAAACTACAATACTAGCGAGGCATGGAAGCCAAAAGAGAACCACCACCTATTCTCAAATAAGCTATTGGCACATCACCTGCATGGGGAAAATTATTCAATACTACGTAGGATAGAAGCCCAGAGAAACAAACTCTAAGTTGCATAAGCAAAGCCAAAAGTCCCTAAATAAAGTAAATAGGAACTACTAAAGGGTTCTCTCAGCCCATGATGTTGGGATTGTTGAACCGGTCGGCCAATTTGACCAATACTCCCGTTTATGGGAGTTCTTGCTCCCATATGCCCAAAACAAACACTTCCGTCTTGTTCATCTCTAATTCCAATCAATTTCGGAAGCCCAGTAGTTTCTTGGGCTTTATATTGTAATCCTTGAGCCAAAAAGTTTGTCTGTGCTCTCTTTAGGGTTCTTCATTGCGCATCCCCACACAATAACATCGCGATATTGAAGGTTTTTGTAAAAGAAACTAAAAGCAATTCGTTGCCAAAGAAGCTACTTTTTTATTGTTCTTTGGAATACTATTAAGCAGAGCTTAGGTGCAGGATATAAAGACCAGCAAATTTACAATTCTCTGTGTAAAGCTAAGATTTAATCCACTGGGCACCAATTTGGAGATGGATTAAAATCATATGTATTTGATTTCCGTTGAAGTCTCTGAGTTTTTACTATCTCGAATGATTAAAATTTCTTGTCGCCTAGTTTTACAAGATTTGTTTACTTGGGAATCTTTGCTGAATGATTTTTTGTTTGTTTGGAAATCAATGGGTTCCTAACAAGCATTTATTTAATTTTTTCATGCTTTTTTTGCTTAATTAAAATATTTGTTGCTTGTGTTGTAGGTATCATGTAACCAATTTTTTTGCGCCTAGTAGTCGCTTTGGAACTCCTGATGATCTCAAATCGCTTATAGATAGAGCTCATGAGCTTGGTCTTCTTGTTCTCATGGATATTGTGCACAGGTGCGTAATATTTCACACATTCAGTACAATCATTGTGCAGTGCTGATTATAATTGGTACTATGTTTTGTTTCTCTCTTTAATTATTATTTGCAAGAAGGTCATCTATGCATTATAGCTAATACACCCTTTTAGTAAGAGATTTCCATTTGTAGTTTGTGTGATAACTGAGAACTGCCACCCCTATTTCTAGGTTTCTGGTAAGAGAAAAATAATTCTATTTAGCATTCAGGGTTTTTTGCCTAATATGTTGCTTGTTGATAGATAACTCATTGAATAAACAAATTATATTGGCTGTTGGCCATATTGATTAGGCCAAACTGGTGAACCTATAGAAGTCATCCTACTGCGCAGAATGTGACGAGTTGCCAAATAGATAGATTGAAGCTGAGTAGGTCCGGAATATCTCGGTTGAGTTTTCTGGCTCCCAACTTCTAGCTTGAGTTCAAACTTGGGAATTCGGCTATAGACATAAAAAAAATGCTTTAGAGGAATTTCAGTTGGATACTGCTTTGTGTGCTCTTGATGACATTGAGATATTTTGTCTGATTGCTGTGAGAAATATAGTGGCTGGATTTTGAAGATTATTGGAACTAAATTTTTGTCTCTTAGTTCAGAAAGATGGAGTCACTGCAAGCTATCTTCTTGATGGTGTCGCTGCAGGTTATATTTATGTTTACATGTTAACATATATGGTATCTAATGCCGGAGCTAACCAAAAACCTAAAAATAGTATCTAATGCCGGAACAACAATGGAAAATATAATTTTTATTACCGAAAAGCAAATAGGGTTATGACCAACACACGCCAAAATAAGAAACAACAGAGACACGACACAAACGCCCAACTAGGGCTTGGTTTAAAGGAGGTGGGAAGGCTACAGTAAGGGGGCTGTGGTTGGGGAAAAAAGGGGGTTGGGATGGCTTAGAAGCGAAGGACAAGAAGTTGGAATGCTTGGTGGTAAGGGGCAGCAGGCAGGGAAGGCTGGCGGCAATGGAACAACAAGTTGGAAGGCTTTGGTGGCAAAGAACAGCAGGTTGGAAGGCTTTGGCGGCAAGGACAACAGGTAGGGAAGGCTATGGAAAGTAGGGAGCGATAAATAAACACCACCTCTAGACGAGTTACAACCAGAGCAGCTTGTTTTCTCCGGATAAAGTCCTAGAAGGGAAAACTAAACCCGGCTGCTGTCCTGACAGAAATATAAAAGCAAAACCGCCCTAAAACACAACAAATAACATATATTTTGACCTAGGGCAAAGAGGAGTGGGCCCCGCTCCAAATAGAAGGGAAATCATGCTTGGGAGGACAAGTCGATCCCTCATTGGCTTTTGGATCAAACGGTTCCTGTCGTGACTGTTGCATCTACAAATTTTTCATGTTTTGGGCAAGACACCCTAAACCCTAAACAAAGTAGCTTCCGTGTGGCGGGCAAAGAGAGAGCAAATGAAAGAGGAGAATTTGGGTGGGGCTATTCTCATCAATAAATATTATATGACTTGGTTTTCTAAAACAAAGAGCAAGGCCACATAATACCGCAATAATGAATTATTTATTTGATTAATCCTTTTTTTTAGGAAATTGCCATCCAGTATGCTCGATTAGAAAGAAATTTATTTCCTTTACCTAGAATATTTGTTATTCCTTTATTAGATATTTCTAATTTTTTCTTTTTTTCTTAATTTTGGTGGAATTTCTAATTTAAATGGATTTTGATTTCCAATTTTGTGAATTGATATGTCAACCACTCTATTGTATATATAAATATACATGCATGCATGCATAGATTGTAATTCATCAGTGTGAGAAGTAAAAATCTAACTCGTGAAAAATTTTATAAAAATCAAGGGATTTAAGTACATGTCCTAGAAAAAGTGAATACCTGCCAAGGAATTTAAGAACCAGTCAAGAAAAGTAAAATATTTATTTGGGAAAATTTATGCTTGTGATTGCCCGTTTTGCATGTACATTAAAGGCCTGTAGCGTCTTTTTAGACCATGTGTTGAAATACATTTTTTTTTCGCAGGCTACAGTATCTCATGACACTGATCAACGAGTCTTTTACGACAATTGGGAATGTCGACAATCTCCCCTATGCTTCCTAACTGTATTGACGCGGGAAAGTTGCCAAAATTTCTAGTGATTTATACTTGCAAATAACTTACATATTTTTAGATCATTTGAACTTATTAAATAATTTAAAATATGAATAATTAGGGCTTAAAAAAATTAAATTTTTACTAATCACGAGTTGTCATATTTGGTTTGGTAGCCTCAATGAGTTGAGCATGATCAACACGAGGAAGATTATAGGTGAGAGAAGACCCCTAGGGACTAATACAACTTCTACAGTAGCTCCCACGACTTCTGTTGCACGAGCAACTGCAACAACTCTTCTTTTTGGAGTCATTCTAATCAATGAAAATATACTCATAATCAAAATCAACGAAGCAACTAACAACAAGAACATATCCCTACCCAACCCAAATAAGTCAAAGGATATTGAATGCAAAGACAAGAGATGATGAATTCAAACATAGGGATATTTAATATAAACGACTAGGAATGTTGATTACAAAACAAGGGCTCTGATACCACTCTACCACACAACGGGTTTGAAAGGCGACACATCCCGACAACGCATGTCATGATGAAAGGATGTTAATATGTTTTGTATTATAAAAAAGTGGATAGAAACAATAATGAAAATAAATAAGAAAAGCTAATTTTATTTCATTTTATAATAAGAGTCATGCAACTGAAGAAACAAAGGTATAATTGAATGAAATTGAAATAACAATAGAGAATTAACTGCCCAAACCCAGAAAGGAAAATATAAAAACTAATATGAAGTTGAAAATATCAAAAATAAATCTAAAGTTTGAATATTGTTTTGGTAGATGATTCTCTAAGTGGCCGAGAAAACTCTATTGTATAAAAATTTAATGCATGAGCTTGACAAATCAAACTATATAAATAACTATTATTTTTTTAAAGTATGAATGAAAAAGGAAATGTGGCATGTTTTGTGAACAATAAAAATGTACAATTTATTTTATGCATAACAAAATTTGCAACAAGAACATCAAATGTTTATGATCATAATGTTCAGTGGATTAAACTTATGCTCTTCCAAGTAAATATTTATATTCAGCAATATCAAGTGTGTTTATACACATATAACTTATCCATATTTTAACCCTTCCTGATAACATACATACATATATATACATATATATATATATATATACATACATATACATACATATACATATATATATACATACATATACATACATACATATACATACATACATATACATATACATATATATACATACATACATGCATACATATACATGCATACATGCATATACATACATGCATACACATATATATATATACATACATACATATATATATATATATATGAAATTGGGAAATATAGAGCACTAATTTTGTGAAAATTAGGTTTGGCCAGGGATAACAAAATAGTTTAATGTCGATATAATAATATTGATACTATAACTAGTAGGAAAGAACCACAAAAATGCAAAAACAAACTTTTATTAATATTAATTTGGGGGTTACAACCCGACACAAACGAAAAGGGAAAACACAATAGCAAACCAATCTTCGACTAAAGTCGAAAGAGAAGATCCGAGGTTGGAGTGGTGCCAGCTACGGGTTGAATGTATGGGAAATGGTGCTGGTTATGAGGTTGGTTAAGAAGGGTTATGAGGTGATTTGGGAGGCCGGTAAGGAGAGCTGGGACAAAAGGGGAGTGGTTGGACAGCCAGATCTAGTGCAGGAAAGTTGCAGCTGCTATCAGATGAAGGTTGGGGAGTGGAACAACAAGGTTATGTTGCTGGTGGAAGGATGGCTTGGTGTTGGAATGGGGAAAAGGGGAGGTCAATGGCTGGGAAGAGGGCATGATAAGGAGAAGGGAAGATATATCATCAACTCAGAGTAGGTTACAACCGAAACACGACCACCTCTTCGGATGCAACCCTACAAACGGGAAAAAGACTCCACTCCGGAAATCTGAAAGCAAACATAGCTAAGACCAACTCAAACTCTCACTAACAAGCATATAAATAGACTCAAAATAAGAAAGATCTTAAAAAGGAAGAGGAGAATAGTTGGCGACACTGTGGCCCTTCCTAGGTTATTGCTCGATCAAGTGGGATGCATGGAAGAAAGGAAATCCTACTCAAATTCTGTTGCAGCCCGAACTGATCACCTCAGTGGTGCTTGAACCGACTCTCCTATGCCAGTCTGTTCAGCCGCTTGGCTTGTTTTCCGCCTCTGTGCGGGAAATGGTCGCACCCGCGTTAACCTCCCCAGGTTAGGGGAGCTTCTTCTTCAGTCATCGAAACTTCCGGTTCCTTGTCTCTAATATTGGCGACACCTTTGTCCCACTAGTGGTTGCACTGAAGACTAGAGCATCGAAGAAGTTGGCACCACTTGCACGCTCAGGTCCCCATTGATCCTCTCTTGTGAGACTGCGGCCCTATGCCTGTACTGTTGGATCCTCCCCAAGTAACCCACAACCATGTCAGTCTTATGTGTCATGAGAGTAGCCTGCATTTTCTCATCCCTTAGTGGAGCTGGTGGTACGGTGTCGATTGTGAGGCCCTGACATCCTCTGGCGTAATTGTCTGTGTTTGGTGTTGATGTTTCAGTCTTCTTATCCTGTTGTGTTACTAGTATTGGCCTCACTGACACTGCTCTACTGGTAAGGACTTCTGTTATTTTGAACTCTGACAATGGAAGTAGAATGATGTGCTTTCTCTTTTTGATAAATGAATAAGTGTTTCTGAATCCATCGTGTTGAGTCCTTCAGTCAAACTATCATGGTTGTCTCAATAAAAGGTGGTAGACATACATAGGGACCACATCGAAGGGAGTCCCAATTTCTTCAGCCATATCAGTGAGTACGGCCAGGAGTGCCTCTGATTTGTGAGTTTCAATTTCTCTATCATCTGAGTTGATGCCACATTC